CTATTTTATGTCCAAACAATACATTTCATTTCTTTCATGTACGGTGATTAAAATAAGTCTCATTATTTGTTTCTTTTATTTCTTCTAGCCAATCATCCCTGTATTTACACAAAACATTAGAGAAGGATATGTAACATATGGAAATATAAGTAAGTAAAACTTTATGTATTCTCAGGAATGTTATTACTTTTAAGGCTATAAATCTATGCATCTGCATCTTTTCTTGCCATTTTTAATTTCAATGATACTGTAGCTCAAGCAGCAATAGCTAAACCTGGGCTATAAATATTTAAAAAATATAATTGATGTAGATCAATTTGGGAGTATGTTCATTTAATTCTTTTTATGAAGATCAATTAAAGAACAATAAATGTGAGTTTCCTCCTGTCTAATCTCTTTTCATCTACTTCATCAAAATGCTGAATGAATATATAGATATATGAATATGAAATATATGAAAATATCTAACTCTGAGTTCTACAGAACTTCAGAGCTTTGCTGGAAAACCTGATTCAATACATTTCCTATAATTGACATAAGGCCATGGGATTATATGGACACAGGGCTGACCCAGAAATTACAGAATATACTGTAAATGCATTGGGCTTATTCTGGAAACTCTGTCTGTCTGTCTGTCTGTCTGTCTGTCTGTCTGTCTGTCTACTTACTTATCCATCATCCTGCCATCTATCAGTCTTCTGGGATCTGTGTGTGTGTTTACATATCTGGATTAGCCTGCTTTTCTAAACTCTAATTTTCAAACCTTTGTAAAATTTAACCTAAACTTTGCAAATTGTAAGGCCCAAATATGATAGCTTATTCTCTTCTCTTTCAACTGGAAAATCTTTACATTAGTAACTTCTGATACCGCTACTAAAAATTGCTAGTTTTTGAATATAGGTCTCTAACAAAGACTAATATGAAACTTTGCACTTTGCTAAAATTGTTTCTGAGATTTTCTAAATCTTGTACACAGGACCAATGAGATGGTTATATGAGCGAACCCGATGGTTTATCTTTCCACTATATGGAATGTTTCCAGTTAAACTTATAAGCCATATTGGAAAACCAATTCCATATGATCCAGATATAACTCCTGAAAAATTAGCTGAAAAAGTAAGTGTATTCTGTTGTAAGGGGAAAATATACATTCAAATTAACACTTTGTTCATGAAATTATAACTCTATAGTAACAGATTGTAAAAGTTATTGAAATACTTTACCTAGATGTGCATAAGTATAGTTGAGTGTTTGGTACATAACTGTCAGTGGAAGTCTATTGGCCATCCAGCTATCCCTCCATCCTTCCATTCATCCATCAGTGTTTAAATATCACTTATTTAAATTACTTAACATGGCTAATTGTAACCTTAAATGAAAACATCTATAAAATAACTATCATACTAAAGCCCTAGTTTGCAACTTCTTGCTTGTCTTCAATGGCAGCTTCACATAGAATAAATGAAAACATTTTGAGACATGACAAAGGCAGGAGTCACTGTCTGAAGACCTAGTCCAGGAATAGGTACAGCTTTCTTACCTGTTGAAGATTGCTTAGGACACAGTTTGAAACTCCTGTTCCAGCACCCCAGCACCTCAAAATGCATACCAACTTTTTCTGGGTGACTGCAAGTTTGTCAAGATCAGTAGACAGAAATTTCATGTGATCAAATGACTTCAGTATAATAGTAACTCTATCTTGCTGGGATTCAACTCTTAGCTCCTTCTAGTCGTTCACAAATCCAAATACCAATCAAGACTTCAATATATCTCCTGTTCAGCCTGTAATGTCGGTAAATATCACTGCATTAGTGATATGAGGGGTCTCAGATTGTTGAATGACCTCTCCCAGGTGTTTCATGTATAAGTTAAATAAAATGAGGAAAAAGGTGAAGCCATGGGGCACCTCACAGTCATTCACACCAATAAGATCATTTGTAATTGCCTGCTTAAGAAGGAGAGGAACTATTGAAAACCAGTGCTTCCAATCTCAAACCTAGCATATAGTCCTGGCCAGTGTTATTTAATCCTGTTAATAATTCTGACAAAATAAGGAGAGAACACATAGGTCATGTATAAGAACAATTTCAATCCCACATTTATTGCTGAATCCCAAGTGAAAGACCTCGAAATAATATGTTTTTCCACATGATCTTCCATCGTTGGAGGTTAACAGCTTTATTAGGAAATGGTAGCTTGAGGATTGGGTAATAATGAATTAGGATGCCTGGGTCAAAGGATGGGTTTTCTTATTTTCAATCCAAAGAATTTCATTGCATGAGCAATAGACCCATTTATGTTTTAGGAAAATATGGGTTTATCTGAAATGTGATGCTAAAGACAAATATTTCATATAAAATAACAATGCGCTATTGTTAAAATATCACATACATGTTAATAATAATTGTATCATATAAAATGTATTTTATAGGATAAATGCTTTTACATTGTTTAATATAAACTATATTAGTTATATAGTACATGAGATGTGTGCTAATTATATATTTCCTCTCTCTTTTGTTTTTCTCTCTTTTAAAATAAGTTATATGATGATAATAAACATTTTTTTAAAAATCCAGGCAATTACACCCACTTGATTATTATAAAATCAGGTGAAAATTATAGGGAGGAAATTGTATGAATGTTGTGATTAATCACCAATAATATTTTATTCATAAAGATACTGGCCACAAGAGATGTAGTTATACCAAGTTGGAATCAATATACTGTATAAGGTCTCCCATTAGTCAAACAGAAGATTCCTTAAGCACACCAAAACGTATAAGATTTTTAAACAACTTGGTTCCTCATTTCGCTCCATTGCTGAAACAGGCAGTTGTTGTTGTTGTTAGTTGTGAAGTTGTGTCCGATCCATCGCAACCCCATGGACAATGTTCCTCCAGGCCTTCCTGTCCTCTACCATCTTCTGGAGTCCATTTAAGCTCATGCCTACTGCTTCAGTGACTCCATCCAGCCACCTCATTCTCTGTCATCCCCTTCTTCTATTGCCCTCAATCTTTCCCAGCATTAGGCTCTTCTCCAGTGAATCCTTCCTTCTCATTAGGTGGTCAAAGTATTTGAGTTTCAACTTCAGGATCTGGCCTTCTAAAGAGCAGTCAGGGTTGATCTCCTCTAGGACTGACTGGTTTGATTGCCTTGCAGTCTAAGGGACTTGCAGGAGCCTTCTCCAGCACCATAGTTCAAAAGCTTCAATTCTTTGGCGCTCAGCCTTTCTCATGGTCCAACTTTCACAGCCATACATTGCAACTGGGAAAACCATGGCCTTGACTATACGTACTTTTATTGACAGGGTGATGTCTCTGCTTTTAAGTATGCTGTCTAGATTTGCCATAGCTTTCCTCCCCAGGAACAAGCGTCTTTTAATTGCTTGGCTGCAGTCCCTATCTGTGGTGATCTTGGAGCCCAGGAAGATAAAATCTGTCACTACCTCCATTTCTTCCCCATCTATTTGCCAGGAATTGAGAGGGCCGGATGCCATGATTTTGGTTTTCTTAATGTTGAGTTTCAAGCCAACTTTTGCACTCTCTTTCTTCACCCGCATCAAGAGGCTCTTTAGTTTCTCTTCACTTTCTGCCATTAGAGTGGTATCATCTGCATATCTTAGGTGAAACAGGCAGGCAGGCAGACAGACAAATAGACACACATGCACACACACACACACACACACACACACACACAAACACACAAATGGAAAAGTGGATGGGAGAAAGGGAAGTGGCTTTCTCAGTTCTCTGGGCAAGTATACTAAAACACTCTTCCGCACCATTCCTTATTTGAAATTATAATAAAATAACATATTTCTGTTGAAGAATGGCATAGGTAGAAAATGTTTAGAGTTACAAAGTGATTCAACCTAGTCATATTTGCAGAATTTCATAGCTCCTAGAGCACCTTTCTATAGCACCTGATCAATAGAATGGAGCATCTTTTCCTTATAGGAAAAATGAGCTGGACATAGAACGCAATGTTCTCTCTATAATTCCTGAAACATAAATCTAAATTATATCATTTTTTTTCTTTCTTTTCCTCATCCCACTCTACCCCATGCCATCCCACCTCTCCAACAGACTCAAAGGGCAGTGGAGGCTTTACGGGACAAACACCAGAAAATCCCGGGAAGCATATTGCAGGCTCTTAGGCAACGCTTTGAGACACATAACAAAGATAAATAGTGATATAACAACCATAATCTCTCTATATAATATATATGTATGTGTAGATGATATATGTGCTTGTGTAATGCAAGTGTTTCCCAAGGCACTTTTCTTTAAAAAAATAAATGAAGAGGCAAGATTAAGAAGGAGCAAGAATATATGTTTATTTCAACATATTTAAATCTCCAACATCAGATTAAATTTCATTTAAATATACCAAAGCATTACATCACGGTATTTTCATATCCTTACCAATTATGTTTGAGAAATCCCGATGATCTGGCAAATGACTGAAGGAATCAACTATTATTCCTATCTTCAAAAAAATGGAAAATGAAAATACAACAAGACATAAACTAGTCACTCTGACTTTGATACTCTGGACAGTTTCAGAGCATATATTGTGAACATAAAGAGATTTATAATTAAACATAATTATCAGAAACTTGACTTGCCTTATCTAATATTTTTTCAGATAACTTCCTTAGTAGACTGTAGCAATTTTGTAAAGATAATATAGCTTGATTTTTTTTTTCAAAGCAGTTGACAGAATAGTTCATTCTGACTAGCAGGTTATCACAGTAATATATAGGCTGCATGGAGATTAATTGACTGCACTGAGTTTGAGTTTACCTAACTGAGATGTGATGCTAGGAGAAAACATTATTTCATATTGTTTCATAATGTGCAATTGTTAAAAAAATCAAATACATGTTAATAACCTAATTGTGTCATATAAAATATTTTACATGAGAAATGCTTTCATTTTGTTTAGTATATTCTGTGTACTGGTTATGTAATACATGAGATGTGTTCTAATACATATTTATCCTCTCTTTGGTTTTTCTGTCTTTTACACTAGTTTAAATTATCATAAGAAACATTTTTAAAATATCAGATAATTACACTCATTTAAGAATTATAAAATCAGGTGAAAATAATAGGGATAAAATTGTATAAATATTGTGATTAATCATCAATAACATTTTATTCATATGGATACTGTCCACAAGAGATCTAGTTATATCAATTTGGAATCAATATATAAGGTCTCCTATTATCTAGAAAGGGGATTCCCTAGGCACATGGAAATATATAACTCTGTAAAATATGTATATTCTTCATTCCTCTCCATTGCCTGAACCAACACACACACACACACACACACACACCTGAAGAGTGGGAAAGTGGATGGGAAAAAGGGAAGTGTCTTTCTCAATTATCTGGGTCAGTATGCTAAAACACTCTTCCTCACCATTCCTTATTTGAAATTATAATAAATAAGCCATATAACATATTTCTGTTACAGAATGGCAGTATGTAGAAAATGTTTAGAGTTACAAAGTGATTCAACTCACTCACATTTTAGCACCTAGAGCATCTTTCCATAGTACCTGCCTCTTTATTTCTCTGATCAATAGAGCAGAGCATCTTTTCCTTAGGAAAAATGGGCTGAAAGTGGAATGCAAGAGAGAAGTTCAGCTGCAGGAGTTAGAATCACACACCTTACAAAGCCATAATCAAGGTCATTTGCTTTTGGATTTGCATGTTCTNTCACTCACATTTTAGCACCTAGAGCATCTTTCCATAGTACCTGCCTCTTTATTTCTCTGATCAATAGAGCAGAGCATCTTTTCCTTAGGAAAAATGGGCTGAAAGTGGAATGCAAGAGAGAAGTTCAGCTGCAGGAGTTAGAATCACACACCTTACAAAGCCATAATCAAGGTCATTTGCTTTTGGATTTGCATGTTCTAAGAGTCCAAGCTAAGGTTTATATTTTCAAGTAAAAGGTGAATCCAGCCAATCAAGCCACAATTAGGAGCAAATTAAATAAGAGGTATCAAACTTCATTTTTAATTATACTACTGCATGCAGAAAGAGAGAGAGTTCTACACCATGTACAGTATTTTAATATAACATGTAGTTTAACCCAAAGGAAAATTGTGATTTATTTATGTACAGTAGGAAGAGAATAAAAATCTTTGCCATAAGCTAGAATTTTACGTATATGTTTAAATATGTTATCTGTTCTTTCATTCCATAGTGTTCTCTCTATAGTTCCTGAAACATAAATCTAAATTATATCTTTTTCTTTCTTTCTTTCTTTCTTTCTTTCTTTCTTTCTTTCTTTCTTTCTTTCTTTCTTTCTTTCTTTTCGTTCTTTCTTTCTTTCTTTCTTTCTTTTTTCTTTTCCCCATCCCACCCCACTCCATGCCACTCCACCTATCCAACAAACTCAAAGGGTAATAGAGGCTTTACAGGACAAACACCAGAAAATCCCAGGAAGCATATTGCATGCTGTTAGACAACGGTTTGAGATACGTAACAAAGATAAATTGTGATATAACAAACATAATCTCTGTAGATAATATACATATACATGTAGATCAGTGGTAGTCAACCTGGTCCCTACCGCCCACTAGTGGGCGTTCCATCTTTCATGGTGGGCGGTAGGGGTTTTGTCCGATACTGAAGCACTTTCCTTTTTTTTAATTCAATTGACTTTTTAAAAATTTTCATAGCATTATTTAAAAATATTTTCATTAGGTTTTCATAAAATTCCCCGTGACAATTTAAATTTCTGAAAATATACTATTTGTATCGCCCTCGCATAAGTTTAGTTCACGTTATGTAAGTGAAATTAAATGGTTCTATAGTGCAACCGCAAAGAAAAGAGCCTCGTCTCAGAATAGCTCGCGCATCTCCCCCACCACCCAGTTGTAACAGACAAGCAGAGCTGGTAGCCGGCGCCCCCCCAAACCTAATCCACAATGAGCAAGAGGCATGCGCAGATGATACATGGCGCAGGTGCTTTTGTTGGCGGTCGCACTGGTCAGTACGCAGTTAGATTTGTGAGAGTGAGCACGTGCCTACAGCTTCAAACAAAATATTGTGAGTCCATGTCTCAAAAAAAGAAATACGCTCGTGGCTATTTGCCAGAGTATCTGAAGATGGGTTTCATAGAATCTGTTGTAAATAAACAACATCCAATGTGTTTATTGTGTCATAAAACATTATC